ACTTATACATGAGTGTTCATAGAGGTGTTAATCATAATAGGCAAAAAGTATAAACAACTCAAATGTCCATCGAATGATAGAGAAATAAAATGTGATATATATGCACATAATGGAATGTCACTCAACAATAAAAAGGAAGTGCTACAACGGGGATGAACCTTGAAAACATTAAGTGGAAGAAGCCAGTCACAAAAGACAACGATTCCATTTATAAAACAAATGTCCAGAATAGGCAAATCTATAGACTAAAAATAGATCAGTAGTTAGGGCTGGGGGTAATTGCTTAGGGCTGGAGGGCACATGAAAAATGAAGGGCAACCACTACAGGGTATAGGGTTTCTTTTGGGGGTGATGAAAATGTTCTAAAATTGATTGCGGTGATGGTTGCACAACCCTGTGACTATTCTAAAAAAACACCGATTACAAACTTTAAAATGGTGAATTGTATGGTACGCAAATTATACTTCAATGATGTTTTAAAAACACATAAGCAATCTCTGTGAATCAGAATCATTAAATAACAATAGTTTTTCAGGGGTCCAATATTTGAGTAAAGCAAATAAGAAAACACTGATCTCAGGGACATTTTTTCCTTAGATATATCTTACAATAGTGATTGAACCCAACCTTCTGGATAATATGCTGTCCAGAAGAAACACAACACAAGCCACGCAAGTAATTTTAACCTTTCAAGTAGACACATTGAAAAATTAAAAAAGGTCAAATTAATTTAATAATATATTTATTTAACTTAATGGTGTACAAAATGTTATTTTGACATTTAGCACATCTACAAGCTATTAAGACATTTAACTCATTTTGTTTATACCAAATTTTCAAAATCTGGTGTATATTTACACTTACAACACATCTCAATTCAGTCCAACTGTATTTTGTACTCAATAGCCACATGTGGTTGGTGGTATCAAAGTGTACAGTGCAGTTCTACATCCACATTATATAACATTAAATGGCGTTTGTGACGATGACCCTACGGCATTGCAATTAACTTTATCAAAGAAAGGCTCAATTTTACTCAATACAACATTTAAATTAAGTATAAGTATAAATTAAGTCTAAGTATATTAATATTTTCCCCAAAGTTCCCATTGCCAAAGATACTTTCAGGCAGTATACAATGTCTGAACATTTCAGGTAAATGTATTTCAAAATTTTACACTATAGAGGACTACATAATCCAAAAAAAGCTAATTAGAAGTTATATAGAAACTCCCTTCCATTCTCTGCACTAATTTTAATGTTTCTCTCTCTCTCACCTCTCTCTCCATTCTTCCAGATGTTACCTTGCTTATTGACACCTGGAAATCCATACAGCTGTTTCAAATAGGTGATAATGCATAAGTAACAGAAAATATAATCTCATACACAGGGACTTTGTGCCACTACACATTTATGGTTTTTAATCTATTTACTTATACAGGTTGAGCATCCCTAATCTGAAAATATGAAATCTGAAATGCTTTAAAGTTCAAAATTTTTTGAGCCCCTTGTGTCATAACACAAGTGTAAAATTCCACACCTGACACCTTTCCTTTCTGATGGTTCAATGTACAAACTTTGTTTCACTCACAAAATTATTTAAAATAATGTATAAAATTACTTTCAAGCTATGTGTATAACGCACATAGGAAATGTAAATGAATTTTGTGTTCAGATTTGAGTACCATCCCCAAGATATTTCATTATGTACATGCAAATGTTCCAAAATCTTAAAAAATATGAAACCCCAAACGCTTCTGGTCCCAAGCACTTCAGATAATGGATACTCAACCTGTATTATTAGACAAACTCCTATTAATGAAACCACCTTGAAATATACACAGTGCAGTTTATATCCTAACCACCTGTAAGTACAAATTTAAGTGTGACTCAATTGATTCTGAGTGCTCCATGAAAAATAAGTTTCACTTTAATTTGAAATAAAGTTTAAGCTTTATTATCAACTTTGAACAAATAACCTATTAAACAGCACGTGTACATGAAAAATTAAGGTATCCTGTTTTTCCCTGTTAATCACCCACAAACAGAAACCAAGGGAAAAATACGAAAGTGAATTACCACCTTACAATATATTTTACAAGCTACCCAGGAGGATTAACATAATTTCATCCAATTAGGACATATTCATATAAAAACAATATTAGTATGTTAATCTACATTATATAGAAATACTTACTGAAAGATTTTAACTTAACAGAAAATGGGATTTGCCTGATAGTGCACATAAGCCTTCAGTATTACCCTTTGGAAGTCTTTTGCTTACCCTCTTACCCTCCATGATTAAATTTTTCAGAACAAAATATTTCCCAGTTTCTAACTAAACATTATTATAGTAGAATCTTAATGTCATTAAGTATTTTTTAATGCCATACTTTAATCTGTAGCAAATAGTTTAAATTTATCAAACTCTCTTTAAGAAAGTTTAAATTATAAAGCAGCAAGTCTTTTCTTGTGCTTTAAGTAGAATTTTACAAATAGGTCCTCTGAATACTGCTTTTCTTATTCTTGCACATTTTCTGATATCTGCTTCCCTTAACAAAGCCCAACTTGTCTTCAGGTTCTTGGTGCAGAGGTAAACTTCAATTTTTATCACATTTTCTGCTTCAACAGAAAGCAATGGTCAAAAATTTAAAGATTAACTGCCATCAGAAAAAGTTACTTCTGAAAGGCTTTATTTATTAAAAATTCACTTTGGTTAGAGCAGGGTAAAATAAAAACACAGAATTTTAATTTCACCATCACAAAAGCAAAAAATATCCTCACAGATAAAACGTATACTAATCCAAACGAATTTTTCTATTTATAAAATATTGACTCTTTCTAATCTTTTGCAGTAAAATGCTGAAAGCAGCCAAGATGATGGAGGCCTGAACAAGGAATCCTAAAAAAAAGACCCAGGGCTTCAAAACTTAATATGCCTACACACCCACTAAACTAGCTAACACTAAAAAGACTGACATATCAAATGTTAGCAAGGATGTGGATCAACAGGACCCCATACATCACTGGTGGGACTGTAAAATGGTACCAGCATTGTTTTAAAACACAGTTTCTTATAAAAGTAAAACATATAACCGTCCTATGACCTAGTCATTCCACTTCTAAGTATTTAACCATGAGAGGCAAAAACATATGTCCATAAAAAGACACATACAAGACTTTTCATAGTAACTAACTGGAAACAGCCCAGGTGAATCTCAACAGTGAATAGATAAATTACAGTTTATTCATATAGTGGAAAGCCACATAGCAATAAAAACGAACTACTGACATACATAAAGATGAATCTCAAAAACGTGCTGAGTAATAAAGAGCCTTACCCAGAAGAGTACATTCAGTACTACAGGATCCCACTTATGTGAAGTTCTAGAGAAGGCAAATCTAATCTACAGTTGAAAAAAATCAAAACAATGGTTGATGGAGGGGGAGAGTAACAGAACTGACTGGGAAAAGGCAAAGTTTCTAGTCAATTAATTATAAGGTCCTACATCTTGATAAAGGTTTGGGTTTACAAAGGTGTAAGCATTTATGAAAACTCATGGATTGGCAACCATGTGCATTCCATTGCACATCAAATTTACTTTACAAGTGTAAAAAATAAAGTTGGATTCAATAACATGCACATTGCTGAGGTGACATGTACTTGTGTCATGTATTGATATTTGCAATTTACTTTGAAATGCATCCAAAAAATAAGATGGACTTAGATCATATAATAAACATAGGAAAATGCTAATTGTAGGTGATGAACATATGGGTGTTGACTGTCCAATTCTTTCAACTTTTCCGTATGTTAGAAAATATAAAAATGTTGAGGAAAATTTTTACAAGAACATTGGGGAGATCAAAAAAAATGTTATAATTGTGGTAAAGTTTCTCTCATTTGATGCTACACACTCTACTGCTTCACAAAACACACCACTTTTGGAATTAGATAAATCTATACCCAAATCATTTACTGTCCCTGGGGAAATTCACATTTCAGGATTTGTTCATTGTTTCCCCTCACAAACCGTTCACATTTTTTGAGATCGTCGGAGATAAATTCAATAATTAATGGAAAATACTGTAGAATGTATTCAACAATAAACTAAAACAATTTGAATTCCACCAAGATTCTTAATTAACTGCAAAATTTTGTATTCCTGAACAAACTTCAGTTAGTAAATTATTTGGTAACATTCTCCATTAGCTCCAATTTTATTTTCTTTTATTCGGTTGCAAACCCTAGTATCTGAGTAACGTCACTATCGTCCCTCTAAAATCAAACAAAAACCTACCCAATAACTGGCATCTAACAGATAAACATACTAAAAAGGAAATAGCGAGTCATCAACGAATTAAAGTCATTCACTTTTCTCCTTAAACCCAGTACTATTACTTAAGATATGGCTGAAAGCGATTTCTACGTCATACTTGATTTTTTTTAAAAAAGGTTAGAAGGTAGGAAAGATTTCAGCAGTCAAAACGCAGAACTAGATGTACACGTGCTCCTCACCCCAAAACCTACCTTAACCCGCAGACAGCTGAAACAATGAGTACCCCCTTCCCTTTTTTAATTCACGAAATAACCGCAGCCAAAGCTAAAGCCAACCTTCGACCCCGCCCAGCCTCCACCCCGCCCGGAGCCAGACGGTGGGTCCCTTTCCTTTGTGAGGAGCTGGAGCGGAGGCGACTGAGGGCGGGGAGCTGGGGGAGGAGGCTGGGGGTCGGCGAACGCCAGGGAAGGCAGTCTCGGAGCAAAGCGGCGTCGGCGCGTCCCACAAACAGGCCGCGCGGCCACGCCACAAACCTCTGCGGTGTCCCGAGGCGCAAACCCACGAACTTGGGTGTGATATAATTTGGGGCGAGAGCCGGAGAATGGTCGTAGGCACCTTTGAGGACCAGCCTCTCCCAGGACCTTCCGAAATGTCTCCTCCGGCCGCGGGCGGAGGTCCTGCCGCCACCCCCACCCCGGCCCGAGCCCCAGGCGGCCTCACCTGCTGGACGGAGCTATTCTCTGGCACAGCGAACTCCTCCTTCTCCTTCGGGGTCTTCACGGTGACTTTCATGATCTTGGGCTCCGCAGAGGCTGCGGCCGCGGGGGCGCCAGCACCTTCGGCCGCGGCGGCGCTGTCCTGGGAGCCCGGAGGGCCGCCGCTTTCACCACTCTCGGCCATGGCGGCGGCGGCGGTGACTCAGGCGAGCAGGAGGGAGCGGGCGAGCGAAAAGAAGCCAGCAGACGCCAGAGCCGGCCGGCCCGGGCTGCAGAGAATGCAGGGCACGCCGCCTCAGTGGCAGTGGGCGCAGGGCCGCCCTAGCGGATGCGGGGCCGCGGAGCTCGGCGTGGGCTCCGGCGCAGGCCCGAGTAGGGCGCTGGGCAGCCGCCGTGCGTTCAGGCGCCGCTCGTTCGCAGCGACATCCGCAGCCGCCGCCGCTTCCTCCTCCCTGCCCCTCCCCCACGTCCCTCCGCCGGCGCCGCGCGGGGCACGCTGGGTAAGCGCCGCCGGCCGCGTCGCCGAGTCATCCCTGGCCGGCGTCGCTGTAAGCTCCGACTGCATTCCTTTTCCTCTCCCGCTCCATTGCCCAAAGTACGGGTGTGTCCAGCGTGAAGGACTAAAAGCAAAGTGGGTGGGACACATCAGTTCATTTTTTAGCCACCTTCACCAAAAAATAAAACGCTGTTTCTAGGAAGCACTGTCACGGCGCACAATGATGACATCACGGTTAGCGAAATTACTAGAAAGGAGCTCGACCACTGGGCGCTGTGGCCGCGCATGCGCCTGCAAGCTCGCAGTCCAGGTAGTCTCCGCACCCCCTTACCCCGGCCCCCGGCCCCCGGCTGGGCCGTTCTCTCCTTTCCAGGCTGCTGCGGTCTGCTGGCCTGGCTTTTCTGCGTACCCCGCGGGGAGGAGGGTCTGGTGATAACGTAGTGGCGAGGTAGTTTGTTGCTATTTGAATATGCTTGCTGTTTAACTGCTTGGAGGGCTCAAAAGACTTGCTCTTACTGCTCTGTCGCTGGCGTTGAAGATTAAAGTTAATGAAGGAAAGGTTCTCTTCACAACGAAAGGAAAATGGAGTAAACACCTGTGACTGCCCTGCGCAAACCCGTAGAGTCATTGCTCCATGGCCAGAGCTTACCGCCCTCGGGTCAGCCGGGTTTGGTCAGATGATCTGGCAGCCTCTGTTGACAGTGGCCTCCCCGCCCCGCTGACAGTCCTGCGCGGCCGCCCCCAGATTCTCCTAAAATATGGGACGGAAACAGGGTGCCCGAGGAGTGCCCACCTAGCTGGGACAATTTAATATACCTGAGGTGTTCATTTGATATTCTATCAAATTAAGTTACTGCTCCATTTCGGACTTTAGGTGGCATTAAGGATAGTTCAAAAATTATTTTTAGTGTTACATAGGTACAACTAAGAAACAAGTTAATTAGTTTTGAGACTCCTACATTTGAAATGACCCCATCGTTTGCTTTTAAAGATGACTTGCAAGGAATATACAAACCAGTGCATTAACCATGTTAATCATTATTGCACAAATGTAAACCTTGACAGCCCATTGTGACCCAAATCTACAAAGACACATTCTGTATTTCTTCTCTTAAGCCATCCAGCCCTGTGTGGGAATACTGTTGCATAAACACTACTTTTTAGGAGGGCCCTTTGGAATCTGGGTCTAAGAAGTTCTGAAGGTATAAATTTCAGTGTAGACATCATTTGATACCACCTGAATTTCTGGCAGCATTGTTCAGTTACACGAACTAACACAAGGTCTTCTACTGAAGGATGACTACTTGATTATGTCTAGGTGGGAGATAATCACTATTTCTCAAGGTAAAAAGTGCCACCATTGGACGACCAATCATTCGAAATTTCTTCCATATATCGAAATTAAATTTCAACTTCCTTAGTTCCCCATTGCCTAGTCTCCTGTCATGCTGTACCTTGCCTGCACACTTTGCTTAGGCCGCCTCTTCTGCCTAGAACGACTTTCCCCTTGCCTTCACCTGCCTACCTTCTACTCATCCCATATCATGTTCCCCTAGAAAACTTCACTCCTTACCATTTAGAGATCTGGTGTCTCTCTTGGTTCTCCAATGAATACCTGTATGTGTGTGTGTGTGTATGTGTATTCCTGTATGTATGGAATTGCTTTGTAATTATCTGTATCTACATTAATTTCTAAAATTTTCTGATGTATATGTGACGCAATTTATGATGTAATATGATTAATCTGTAAGAAGATTCAGTATAGTTGCTTATCCATTGTTGAGAAACCTTTTAGACATAATCCTAACCTAGAAAGGGCCACTGGAAGTGGAAGGACCATGATCTAAATCAAGCATTGGCAAACTTTCTGGGAGAGCTAGGTAGTAAATATTTTAAGCTTTGCGGGCTACATGGTCTCTGTCTAAAATACTTAGCTCTGCCTGTATATCACAAAGCAACCATAGACAATACATATGTGAATAAGCATGGCTGTGTTTGCTGAAAACTACTTACAAAACAGAACAAGCATAGGATCTGATTTGGCCTGCGTAAGATACTTTGACAACCCCTGGTATAGGTGTCTGTTTGAGGTATGTTCTTCTGAATGGTTTTTGTTAATTAAATGGTTAGTCTGGAGAAAATTATAAGAGCTTGTTTCATCCATGCTACAAACGTTAACTGAGCACAATTAATGTGCAAATACCGTATTGAGGTTACAAAGACATTAAATAAGACTCAGTTTGTGCTGTCAAAAAACCTAGAGGATAGTTGGAGAGGGGGTTGGGGAGGGAAATAGGCAGTGATGTGCTGCTCAATTTTTAATAACCAACACTCCAGAAGACAAACCTTGATTTATAGCCTTTGCCAGTTTTCTTGATGTAAATACTTGGAAATGGCCAATTCAAGCCACCAACTTGAGGTGAGTTGGCTCATAAAACACCTAAAATTTTACCAATCTGCCCTCAGAAGGTAGCTCCAACTGAAGAGGTCTCACTTTGAGAGAATCCTTATTCAGAGTTCAAGTATATTGTTAAGAGGTTATTATTCACATGGTAGAAGAATTCTTGGGGTAATCACACTGTGGTTCTCCCCATTAATAAATTCATGTGCCTTGTCTCCAACAGAACAAAGAATTCTTCCTTGACAAAATAATTCAGTCAATTCAATCAATAAAAATTTATTGAGTACCCTCTGACAAACTTTAATCCTCTGATCCTGTGTCCAGGAACTGACATACCTTTAATACAAGGTAGTACATATGTCAAATAAGTGGTATAAATAGCATGTCTTTATCATGTTGCTACCCTTCTCAAAATCCATCATAAACTCCCCATTGCCTGGAAAATAAAGCCTAAGCTGCTTCTTTTTCCCTTTTTTTGGTAGCTCAGGGAGAAGGAAGCTCAAGCTTCTTAAGTATGAACTCAAGGCCTTCCACAACCAACTCCTAGTCTGTCTTTCAAGCTTCATTCCTATTACTCTATATGGATACACCCTGTTCCATTCAAACATGTTTATTACCATCTCTGGAAGTACATTACACTTTTCTCACCTCTGATGATTTCTTCAAGTCATTACACCCCCTACCTTGTACCCATTATTGCTACCTCCTCTCTAAAACCTTCCTTGGATACCGAAGCCTACAGAGTCGTTTTAGTTCTCTGACCTTCTGTCGTAATTATTTGCACAATTCACTTGACCATTTCATCACTTGTAGCATAGCTTCTATTATCTTAAGCTCTTTCTCCTACCACCAGTTTAGTTCACACCCTCATTAACTCTGGCCGAGATTACAGCAATAACCTCCTAAAGATTCTTCTGCCTTAGTAAAGTTTCCAGTCTCAACTCTATTTTCTAATGGTTCCGTAAATTATCCTTCTAGAACTAAGCTTTGATCATGACACCTGCCCGAAAAATTTTAGTTGCTTTCGCCAAAGTATTAGAATAATGTCTAAACCTTGTGGCATGGTGTCCAGGGCCTTATATGACCAGAAGACCTTGCTCCTCACTCATATCTTATCTTCAACTAAGCCAGTCAACTAACCTGTCCGAGCATGTCTTGCATTTTCCTGCCTCAAACCTTCAACACAACATTTACAGCAAATAGAAATTCTTCCCCCTTATTTTGTCCCTATTGTTTTACCCATCCTTCAAGATTCAAATGTGACTTTCCCTAGCAGTTTTTCCCTGATAATGTTTTTGGATCAGAAGTATCCTCTAAATCCTCTATATTCCCATATAGCCTTATTACCTTCATGTCACTTACCACATTCTGTCTTGTTTTATACTTACTTGTGTGCATATCTCCTTTATTAGACAAGGTCCTTGAAAACCGGGATCAAGTCTTAATTATCATTTATACCACACAGTGCACAGCCTAATTTCTTGGCGTGAGAGTATTTACTGTTGAACTGAATTGTTGAACTGACATGTTTTCCACTAGGGAGGGAACTCACTTAGAGCTTTAGATCACATTTTATACTCCTTTGTCCTAAAGTTTATAGTATAGTGACATAGATAGATAGATAGATAGATACATGCATACATGCCTCAGAATTTAATTGCTTTACAGTGGAAGTTCAGAGGAAGGAAACATTATTCACTCCCTACTTGCATAGGGTGGGGGAGGTGGGAGAGTCCAAGAAGGTTTTTGAAGGAAATGAAAACCAGGTTTTGGGGAACAGATACAACTTCTTAAGTGTGTTGAGAGGGACAACATCATGAGAAAGACACAGTAGTGGGAAATGGAAACTCTCCTAGGACACTGGTGTCAAAGTGGGTCCACAGTCTAGGAACAGTTCATAAATATCTCTAGGGCTCTCATGCATACCTTTTGTGCAGCTTCCCCCAATGGTGACATCTCAAATTGTTGTTGCATAATATCAAAACCAGGAAATTGACACGTTAACTACACTACAGATCTTACTTGGTTTTCACCATGTTTTTTAACCTGTATTCATTTGCACATGTGCACGTGTGTGTGTTTGTAGTTCTGTGCAATTTTATTCCATGTATGGACTTGTATACCATCACCACAGTCAAGATACAAAACAATTCCATCACCAGTCTCACTATTTTTTATCCTTCCTATACAGCAGGGCTTCTCAACCTTGACACTATTGACAACTGAAGACAGATAATTTTATGTTGTGGGGGGGCTTTCCTGTGCATTGTAGGATGTTTTGCGGAATCCCTGCCTCATTAGAAGCCAGTCATAATCCCACTCTACCCCTGTCAGGACAATCAAAAATGTCTCTTGACACTGTCAAATGTCCTGTGGGAGGCAAAATTGTCCCTGGTTTAGAACCACTAATGTACAGAGAGCTGGGGGGATCATCCCTACCACCTACACCTTTCCTCTTATTTCTTCTCACACAAAATGGAGTAGCAAATGTTATCAAGTATCAAATGATATTTCACTACAAAGTCTCTTTAATTCTGAGTCTGTTATAATACTCAAGATAAACTTCACTGTGGATTTTCCCCAGTAGATGATAAGTATTGCTACAATTCCATTATACACTTGGGTTTAATC